AGCTTTTAGGGACTTGCTAAATAATGATTGGCTGAAATTAGAGCAGACGGCAAGAAGGTCGCTGGTTCGAATCCCGGCTGGGTCAGTTGGTGTTTCTGTGTGGAGTTTGCATGTTCTCCCCGTGTTGGCGTGGGTTTCCCCACAGTCTAAACACATGCGCTATAGGGGAACTGATCAACTAAACTGGCCGTAGTGTATTAGAGAATGAGTGTGTATGGGTGTTTTCCAGTACTGGGTTGCAGCTGGAAGGGCATCCACTGTGTAAAACGTGCTGGAATAGTTGGCGAGTCATTCCGCTGTGGCAATCTCAGATAAATCAGAGACTAAACCGAAGGAAATGGATGATGAAATTAGAGCGGCATGACCCTGGATATGGAGAGTCTTGATTTATTACATGTAGAATAGAATTGACTTAAAACATTGAGTAATTTTACAAGACTTATTGAATTATTATCAGATTATTGAGCTCATTTTCAGCATAAGCACACTTCATTTTGACTCATTATTTCTGTACGCAAGACAATATTTGTTGCTGGTCTAGAAAACGCTTCTTGTTTTAAGAGTTTGTAGATGTTTTGGACTGGAAGTGAAGCGCGTTTGCTGCAGTGTACTTGACGCAGCTGAACAGTAAAAGCCGAGTATGAGTGAGAAAGGTTGAACGCGTGAAATGAAACGGAGGTGTGCAAATGTTTAATGTGTGTCTGTGCATAAAGCAATGAGAAAAGCAAACATCTGAGCTGCAGACGCAAAGGATCATGGGAAGGCATGGCGATGCAGAATAAACCTCAGGATTAAGAGCAGTGTGTGTATGTGTGTGTGTGTGTGTGTGTGTGTGCGGTCATAATGTAGTCACGGCTACTGTACACTGCAAACATGTTTCTTATAGAGCTACTGTCTTGTTTCGAGTCTAGATAGTTTACAAATTCTTAATAAAGAAGCGTTTTCTGGACAAGCAAAACAATATTGTGCAGTTTTCCAAAATTAATGAGTGAAAATTAAGTGAGTCTTTCATTAAAACAAGCAAAATAATCTGCCGATGCACTGAAAATATAAACTGGTTAAGAATACTTCATTGAGTTAAGGCAACGAGTTTGCACAATTCAATCAACTTAATTGTATTAAGTACTTATTTTTTACTAGTATATTCAAAATTTTCCTTATTACACAAACCGGCCACTTTATTAGGTACAGCTTACTAGTACCAGGTTGGACCCCCTTTCGCCTTCAGAACTGCTTTAATCCTTCAGGGCAGAGATTCAACAAGCTACTGGAAGTATTCCTCGGAGATTTTGCTCCGTATTGACATGATAGCATCACACAGTTGCTGCAGATTTGATCTCCCGTCCCACAACATTCCAAAGCTGCTCTATTGGATTGAGCTCTGGTGACTGTGGAGGCCATTTGAGTACAGTGAAACCATTGTCATGTTCAAGAAACCAGTCTGAAATGATTGAGCTTTATGACATGCTGCGTTATCCTGCTGCCATTAGAAGATGGAGACACTGTGCTCTTACCATGCTCAATTGGTACTAATGGACCCAAAGGGTGCCAAGAAAATCTCCCCCACACCATTACACCACCACCAGCCTGAACCGCTGATACAAGGCAGGATGGATCCATGCTTTCATGTTGTTGAGGCCAAATTCTGCCCCGAGCATCTGAATGTGTCAGCAGAAATGGAGACTCATCAGAGCAGCAACGTTTCTCCAATCTTCTATTGTCCAGTTTTGGTGAGTCTGTGTGAATTGTAGCCTCAGTTTCCTGTTCTTAGCTGACAGGAGCGGCACCCGGTGTGCTCTTCTGCTGCTGTAGGCCATCCGCCTCAAGGTTGGACGTGTTGTGTGTTCAGAGATGCTCTTCTGCAGAGCTCGGTTGTAGCGAGTGCTTATTTGAGTTACTGTTGCCTTTCTATCAGCTGGAACCAGTCTGGCCATTCTCCTCTGGCCTCATCAACAAGGCATTTGCGTCCACAGAACTGCCGCTCACTGGATATTTCCTCATTATCAGACTATTTTCTGTAAACCCTAAAGATGGTTGTGCGTGAAAACCCCAGTAGATCAGCAGTTTCTGAAATACTCAGAGCAGCCCTTCTGGCAGCAACAACCATGCCACAATCAAAGTCATTTAAATCCCCTTTCTTCCCCATTCTGATGCTCACTTTGAACTGCAGCAGATCCTCTTGACCATGTCTACATGCCGAAAAGCAGTGAGCTGCTACCATGTGATTGGCTGATAATAAATTTGCGTTAATGAGCAGTTGGAGAGGCGTATCTAATAAAGTGGCCAGTGAGTGTGCATTGAGTGTCATTTACTCAGACCATCTACTGTAAGTTTTGTGGACTTAATTGAATTTTGGACTCAAACCAGCGACCTTCTTGCTTTGAGGCCACAGTGTTACCCACTGAGCCACCATGCAATATTAAATACTACTCAAATATTAGGTCGTATTAACATGGTGTTAGAGGTATTAAAGACAGCATGTTGAGCAGCGCTGCTGTAAAGTGCGTGACATTTCAGACTCAAAGGGAAAATCAATGCATTGGGTCTTTCAATAAAGCACAACTGACGGAGCATCACAATACAGCTGAGATTCATCCGCTACAAAAAAAACTAAAATCAGTGTTTTGTTGCACAATTTGTGGCTGCTTTGAGTCCCGGAAGGGTCAGTTGACATTCCTGTGTGGAGTTTGCATGTTCTCCCCGTGTTTTTGTGGGTTTCCTCTGGGTGCTCTGGTTTCCCCCACAGTCCAAACACATGCGCTATAAGTCTAAATTGGCAGTAGTGTATAAGTGTGTGTGTGTGAATAAGTGTGTATGGGTGATTTCCTGTGATGGGTTGCAGCTGGAAGGGCATCCGCTGTGTAAAACGTACTGGATCAGTTGACGGTTCATTCCGCAGTGGTGACCCCCAGATTAATAAAGGGACTAAGCCGAAGGAAAATGAACGAATGAATTTAGTATTGCATGATAATTTTAGGGGTGTCGCCTCACAGCAAGAAGGTCGCTGGTTCGAGCCTCGGCTCAGTTGGCATTTCTGTGTGGAGTTTGCATGTTCTCCCTGCGTTCGCGTGGGTTTCCTCAGGTTGCTCCGGTTTCCCCCACAGTCCAAACACATGCGGTACAGGTGAATTGGGTAGGCTAAATTGTCCGTAGTGTATGAGTGTGTGTGAGTGTGTGTGTGGATGTTTGCCAGAGATGGGTTGCGGCTGGAAGGGCATCCGCTGCCAAAAAACGTGCTGGATAAGTTGCTGGTTCATTCCGCTGTGGTGACCCCAGATTAATAAAGGGACTAAGCTGACAAGAAAATGAATGAATGAATGATAATTTTATTTCTTTGGATAAAAATAATGCATAAAACAGGCCTGAGATTGATTTTTCTCCTCTCTCTCTTGGATCTTTTACATTGAATCTGTGAATCATGACTGATGTGAAATAAATAAATAACTGTAGTAACTAAATAAAACAGACCGACTGAATATTAATTCACAATAAAGCTAAAAATGATCAGTGATGTTGAACAATAAACACTAAAATCACAGTATTTTGTTACACAATGCTATAAAAAATCTCCTAACATGTGGTAATAATATTACTAATAAGACAATTGCATGATCATTTTATTTCTGTGGATAAAAATAATGCATAACACAACCCTGAGATTGATTTCTGTGCCTCTCTGTTGGATGGTGGAGGTTTTACATTGAAACTGTGAATCGAGACTGCAGTATGACGATGTGAAATGAATAAATAACTGCTGTGAGGAAGCAAATAAAGGAGAGAAATAAAGCTGAAATTTATCAGTGATCTTGAAAAATAAACCCCAAATCCCAGTACTTTACATTGTTACACAATGCTTTTAAAAATATATCATCTCTCAGAAATCTGGTAATGATCAACAGACAATTAATTATTATTAAGTATTTCATGATCATTAGAGCATACAAATAATGTTTCAAACATTCCTGAGTTTTATTCTCTCTTGGTTCTTGAAGGTTTTGCACTCTTTAACTCACGACTACACTGCAACGAATGTCTTGTGTCTAGTCCAAATATCTACAAATTCTCAAATCAAGAAGCATCTTCAAGACGAGCACAAAATTATGTATTGTTTTCAGAAATTACCATAGCAACTGTAGAATCACCACAACAGATCGATTACTATAGTTGTTGTGTTACCATAGCAACTGTAGAATCACCACAACAGATCAATTACTATAGTTGTATTACCCTAGCAACTAGAATCACCACAACAGATCAATTACTATAGTTGTGTTACCATAGCAACTGTAGAATCACCACAACAGATTGGTTACTATAGTTGCTGCGTTACCATAGCAACTGGTTACCAAAGCAACTGTAGAATCAACACAACAGATCAATCACTATAGTTGTTGTGTTACCATAGCAACTGTAGAATCAACACAACAGATCAGTTACTATAATTGCTGCGTTACCATGGTAACTGGTTACCATAGCAACTGTAGAATCACCAGAACAGATCAATTACTACTTGTTTTGTTACCATAGCAATTGTAGAATCAACACAATAGATCGGTTACTATAGATGCTGCGTTACCATGGCAACTGGTTACCATAGCAACTGTAGAATCACTACAACAGATCAATTACTATAGTTGTTTTGTTATCATAGCAACTGTAGAATCGGTTACTATATATAGTTGTTGTGTTACTATAGCAACTGTAGAATCAACACAACTGATCAATTACTATAGTTGCTGTGTTACCATAGCAACTGTAGAATCAACACAACAGATTGGTTATTATAGTTGCTGCGTTACCATGGCAACTGGTTACCATAGCAACTGTAGAATCACTACAACAGATCAATTACTATAGTTGTTTTGTTATCATAGCAACTGTAGAATCGGTTACTATATATAGTTGTTGTGTTACCATAGCAACTGTAGAATCAACACAACAGACCAATTACTATAGTTGCTGTGTTACCATAGCAACTGTAGAATCAACACAACAGATTGGTTATTATAGTTGCTGCGTTACCATAGCAACTGGTTACCATAGCAACTGTAGAATCACCACAACAGATTTATTCAAGCACTTCACATTAGCATTGTTCAAAAACACTACAGTATTTACTATAAATGGCTCGAGTATTTTGTCATTTGCGTACAGAAACCTGTATTTTGACGCGTATATTCACTGCAGTTGTGTGTTTTTGACTTCCAGGACGATGTCGTCTTCTTGATTTAAGACACATTAGATATTTGGACTAGAAACAAGGCCAAAACTCAAAGTAGGGAAGGCATTTTTGCAGCGTGTGATGTGAAATAAATCTCTAACTCTAATAAAGTGCTAGTAAGAACTGTCTGGATCTGGCGTTGTTTTGATTCATGTTGCTGATGTTTGTATTTCATCACTCAGATCCACACTGTTGTCGAACGCTCCGTCCTCCTCGTCTCGCTGCTGCCGAGCAAAACTCACAAACACCTGAGAGAAGCACAGAGAAGCAGAGGAAAACACCATCACTGCTTCATTTCAGCGTCTCTCTTCTGTAATGCAGACGTTCGAGATCTCCAGCCGAAGCTTTGCAGAGATTCGAAACAGTTGACTCACGAATCAACTGTCAAATGATTCAAATCATTCAGAACAGCACATGCTGGCGACACCTGCTGGCCAGAACTGTGCAATTACAGCAAAACTCAGACCAAACATGCATAGAGTTGAGCTTTTGTGTGTGTGTGTCTGTATGAGTGAGTGTGTATATGTGCATTAAGCATGTGAGTGAGTGAGTGTGCATGTTTGAGTATGTGACTGCATGTGTGTGAGTGAGAGTGTGTGTGTACTGTATATATAAGTGAATGTGTGTGTCTGTAAGAGTGAGTTTGTGTATGTGTGTATTTAGCATATGTGTGTGTGTGTGTGTGAGTGTGTGAGTGTATGTGTGGAAGCTTGAGCATGTGTGTGTGTATGAATATATGTGTGCATGAGTGAACGTGTGTGTGCATCTAGCATTTGTCTGTGTGTATGAGTGAGTGTGTGTGTATGTGTACAGTATATAAATTATTATGTGTGTGTGTGTGTGCATTTGGCATGTGTGTGTGTGTCTGTGTTTATGAGTGTGTGTGCATGAGTGAACGTGTGTGTTCATTTAGCATGCGTTTGTATGAGCATGTAGCGTGTGTGTGTATGAATGTGTGTATGAGTTATTGTGTGTGCATGAGTGAATATGTGTGTGTGTGTGTGTGTGTGTGTGTGTGTGTGTGTGTGTGTGTGTGTATGTTTATGTATGAGAGTGTGTGTGTATGAGTGAATGTGTGTGTTCATTTAGTGAATGTGTGTAAATGTGTGTGTGTGTCTGGTTGAGTTTGTGTATATGTGCATTTAGTATGTGTTTACGTGTGTGTGTGTGTGTGTACTGTATGAGTGTGTATGTGAGTTTGTATGATTGTGTGTGTATGTTTGTGCATGAGTGAATGTGTGTATGTTTGAGCATGTGTGTGCACATGTGTGTGTTTATGAGTGTGTATGTGCGTTTGTGTACTGTATGAGTGTGTATGTGAGTTTGTATGATTATGTGTGTATGAGTGTAAGTATGTGTGTGTGCATGAGTGAATGTGTGCATGTTTGAGCATGTGTGTGCACATGTGTGTGTTCATGAGTATATATGAGTGAGTGTGTGTGCATGAGAGAATGTGTGTGTATGTGTGTACCTGGTCCAGTGTGGTCTGTGACACAGAGTAATCCTCCACCCGGAGTGTGTGTTGGTGTGTGCTGAGCTGGCTGAAGATGTGTGTGAGCGCTCCGTCCGCTGGTGGGATCTGGTACTGCAGTGTGTTGTGGTGTTTCTCCTTCAGGACGCTTCCAGGAAACGTTTCCTTCACGAACGTCTCCAGAGCATCCAGATCAGACACATCCGCACACACACGCACGATCAGCGTGTATCCGTCACCAAACCTGCGCGCACACATGCACACACACGCTGCTTTATTCGTAAATGTTTTATGCCCTGTTACAGATTTAAGCCTACATTTCATTTGCATCTTTGGGTGGAAACACAGCACAATAGAAAAGTACAGAGATTGTGTATGTGTGTGTGTGTGTGTGTGTGTGTGTGTGTTTGTTTTCTGACCTGCTCTTGAGGTGCTGGATGGAGCCCAAACACTGGAACTGACCATTCACCATGATGGCCATACGAGTGCAAAGTGCTTCACACTCCTCCATACTGCACACACACACACACACACACACACACACACACACACACACACACAAACACACACAAACACACACACACACAATACGGACAGAACTTCTACCCCGTGGCAGTTCCAGTAAATGACAGTCAAGCTCAGCTCAGCTCAATGTAAGAGAGTTATGTCTGCTGGCGTGATTCACATAACTGGGCAGGTTTCTGCGTGTTTTTGAGGTAATAACAGTTGTTTAGCAGATACCTGCATCTTCAGTGAACAAACACGATTACACAATCCTTTTGTCAGTCATACTGTCATAGACCCCAGAAAGCCACAATGTTGCCATGATGTTGCCAAATGAA